CGTCTCGAGTGCTCTGGAGTGATTTCCGAGACTCTTTTCTTTGGATTGACAACTTCTTTTGAGGACTGAGTCATTTCTACATTTTTCGTTTTTCGACACTATTCACTTTTTGTCCTTTTCCCCATTTCGTCTTTTTCCCTATTTTGTCTTTTCCCCCGTTTGTCACCTTGTTGGCATAACCACACTTCTTACGTTTGGAGTTGGATTTTGACTTCACGTATCTTCATTCTCAGTGGTTTCCATGAAATACGTATCTTTACTTTTGCAAGAAAGTACTCTAGTTGCTCCCAGTGTCCATAGGGGCATGGATACAAAGTACCTTGGGAATCTTTTCTTTTCTTGGGGTGTTTTTCATAAATATCTTTTGAAGATATTTATTTCAGGGGTTTCTAAGAAAATATCTTTTTGGAAGATATTTTCATTCTGGGGCAGTTTCGTAATTTTCACTTTTTGGTCGGGCCATTATGCAATTAATGAAAGTTATTACTCAATTTCTTGTTTTGAGCCTGAATCCTCGTACGGGATTCATTTTCACTTTTCGTCAAGTCGTGTACTCTTGGAATTTTCTCCTGGTCGATGTTTTCTAGTTTCAGGGTTTTTGGTCCCAATTTGCTCCAAATTTGTTTGGGGCATAACTTTCTGCTCGGGACTCAGTTTTTGACGCCGCTTCTTTCATTATTCATCTTTTCTCATTTTAAATCTTTTTTGTTCATGGAGTTTTTCTGTTTGAGCGCGTCTGCTCGAATTTCACTTTTTCGGACCCGGCGGGGCCCTTTCGGGGCACTTTTTGAGATTTTCTATAAATAGAAGCACTTAAGAGAAAATATCAGATTTTTCTCTCTCTCTCTCCTCTCTCTTGGCCGGATCTCATGGCAGCCATGGCTGCCATGCTTCTCTCTTCTTTTCCGGTCACTTCCCTTGGTTGAAAAGGTGTAGTACCTTTGTGTTTATTGTTCCCTTCGCCGTGCTCTACCTTTTTCCCTTATTAGAACTCAGTTTTGGCCATTTCTTGAGTTTGGGTTTGAAGTCAAGATGTGTTTTTGATGGTGCTTTCTTTGGATTCTTGTTCGTGGTGTTGTCCCCGACAAAACCTAGGAGTTTCGTCAAATTCAGAGCGGTTTCCATTTGGTGGGGATTTGAGATTTCATCTCAAATGGAGGTAGGGAATGTTTTAGGATTATTTGTGTGTTGTATGGTGTGTTTGCCATGATTATACAACATATATGTATGCCTTGTATCAAATCTAGAAAGTCAGTAATTTTTATTTCTTTATATAAGATTTAAAATTCATGATGATATATAACTTTGATTTGAATTGTGGCATGCTAGAAAGTTTAGTTTTAATATGTTTGTTAACATATATTAAATTGGGATTAATTAAATAAGAATTGCACTTTTATTTAATATTTATCTTTTGTGAAAGATTAAAGTTCATGGCCATACCTTGCATGAAATTGAGTTGTATTATGCTTCTAAATTAAGTTTTGACATGTTTGTTAACATACTTTAATTTGAGAGCATTTGGTTGAGTTTAAAATTTTAGAGACTTTAATTAAATGAATTAATTAAAATCTATTTTGTAGTTTCATTGGCCTAATTAAGCTTTTGAATGCATATATGTAATGACCATGATTTGTCCTTTAACATATATTAAATTGAGGCCATTTGGAAACGAATTGAAATCTAGAGAGTTTAATTATTTTGATTTACTTAAATTCTATCTTGTTTATCCATGGATTTAATCATGTTTTAGAAGTTGCTTCTATGTTGAGATCATGGATTTGGACTTGTTGAGTATTCACTTGATTATGTTTTAAGCATTGAAGAGTATTATTGTTAAATTTATATTCACAAGAACTTGTTTCCAATATTGAATATATGATTGACTTGTGTAATGAATTGTACACTTCGTATTGACATTATGTATGCTATTTTAGAATGTGAATCCTAAGACATGGATTGTGTGGTTTTAACCTACTTGTGCATGGAAGTTGATTTCGTGCATTATATAAATTAAGTATAAGTTGTGAACTTATTTGGTATATTTTGGATTCTCTTGGGACATTATTGTTACATGTGATATGGCTAGAGTTTGGCTCTAGTGCGGGAGGTATGAGTTCTCCCCAATTGAGATAGTGCGCACTTAGGGTGGTTTTCCCTACGGGTCAGTGCCCGGAATAACCATTGAGGTCTCGGCAGAATTCCGAGCGTGATGTCCAAGTCTTCCACTATTTGTTTTCGCATTCAATTCCAAGTTTGCAAATTGTGTTTATATTGTGACTTGTGGTTTTGGCTATTGGCGATTTGATATTGTTAAGTACATCTATACTAAATTGTTATATTTAGTTGATCTCGCACTTTTAGATTTCTAGTTGATAGTCTAGAGAATCTATGTCTTGATGTGTGGTATTAGATATTCTAATTATATTAAATTGCTATATTTAGTTAATTTTACATTTTAGGTTTTAAGTTGATTACTTGGAAAATCTATATATTGTTGCTTTGTGTAAGCATATTTCTATATTGATGCTTGGTGTAAGCATGTTTTTATATTGTTGCTTTGCGTAAGCATGCTCCTATGTTGTTGAAATTGCATGAATGAGGTGATTGATGCTAGAACTAATCTAGGGTAGCTTAGGATGCTCCCTGAGTCTCACATTGATATAGACGTTAGGTGGCATGAACCCTTTAACATGTTTCACCTTAAAGTGATGAGATTGTAAAACGTAGGTCGATGCATGCTCATTTCCTACGAGTAGCTTTATGTTGCTCACCCCAAAGTTACTGGGGCATATTTTAGGTACAAGATTCAAGATATGAAGATTAGCATTTACCGTTGGTGGTTTAGAGATTTGAAGTTCTTTCAAAGCATACTTGTTCACATGCAAGTGTGAGCATGTTTAAGTTTTACATTTGATGTTGTAACACTTAGTTAGGTTTAATATGCTATTTTTGTCTTATTACATGTAAAGTGTACTTAAGTATGTTATTTAAAACCTATATAATATGTATGATTTGTGGCCAAGGGTCACCAACTTTAAAGTTCAAGTGTATGCACTTAGATTCCAAGTTTTGCTTTTGAAACGTATTCTTTTCCAACTTTGAGGTTTGGTAAGTGAATTGAGTAAATGTCATGTAATGAGGCCATAGGCCATTGTAATACATTTCAATATGTAAATTATACTTGCTAGCATGTTTATGTAGCTTAAAATCATGTTTTTGGATCATATCCATGTTGGGGTTTGAAGCTTGGGTGAAGCTTCATCAAATCTTGTTCATAGCAGGTTCATTCTGAGCTTTTCGAGTTGTTTCGGTTGTCCGAAACTTCATTTCGGTCGACCGATAGCCTTTGGAGTTGTTAATGCACAATAATCACTCATTTCCAGTAGGCTTTTGCACTGTTTAGACCTATTTCGGTTGTCTGATGGGTTACTTCGGTCTACCGAAACAACCAAGCCTTAAAAACTTGATTTTTGCTCTCAGCATGTTCATTTCGATCCTTCGATGGGTTATTTCGGTTGACCAAAATGACCCCTTTCACCCAACTTCTTCAGTTCAGTTTCAGCACTGATGTTCTGACTTTAAATGACTATAACTTCTTCATTTTAAATCCAAATGGGGTGATTCTTGAGTCTAAATTCATGATTTTTGAGTCAGCTTTCCAATGGTACCAATGTCATTCTCAGATTCCAATCACAATGGGAGTTATTCATGTTTTAGTGAAGTAGTATCAGTTTTTACTTCAACCGGGAAATGGCATTTTGGTGGGATTCATGTCTAATATTCTTAGAACCTCTTGGAATGTTGTGAAATAATTAAATTAGGTTGTTTTCACCTTATTTAACTTGTTTAGTGTCAAATTTCTCCTTTTAATTGTGAGTTGACCATTTTGCCCTTTAGTTCACGGTTTTTGGCCGTTTTGACCTTTGTTTCCGCTTTCGGTCTTTGAGCTTCGTGACTTCATGGAAGGTCACATTGGTGTCTTAGAGATGATTTATATTTCTAAAGACTTTGGTTTCATTTTTTACTTCCGCATTTCGAATCCGTTATCGGATCAATTTTCGGTTCATCACTGACGCACCGGGTTGAAAAACTTGGGCCATCACAATATACAAACAACGTACCTATATCCTTACATTGTATGATGGGAGGGTAAAAATGGGGTGTCTACCATAAATAAAAAGGAAAGAAAAAAATCTAGGGTAAAAGGTTTGATCACATGAATCATGAAAGGAAAGAAGAGCAAGGGAACACGCCCACTACCAACCAAAAAGAAAGAAGAGAAGAATCATAAACAGGCAATCATTTCACTCAATTGGGATCTCTTGGACCTGCCAACCGATGGCAAAGACCTCTAACATAAATTCTCACATCATCAGCCGTTTATTCTTTTTCTTTTAATTTTTTAATTTTTTTTTTCTTTGTTGTCATCCAAACTCCAAATTTCCACTATTGAAAAGCTTTGTTATAGAATTGGGTTGGGGCCGTTGCTTATGGCATTGGAGGGTCGTTATTTGTAGCAGAGCTGTAATAGAAGGAGTTAGCTGATGGCTCCGTGGATTTTTCTAACAATTTACTTAGAATTATGGTTGAGCAGCTTTAGGACATGATATGACACATGGTACTTTATCATATAACCAAATATGTTCCTACTAATTTGAATAATATTGCTTTTGTGGTCAAATTAAATTAATACTTTCATTACTTTTGCACGGCAATAAAAATATTAAAATAATTTTTTTAATTAATCATTTATTTTTTAAATTTGTAACAGTTTTTATTTTAAAAATCTTATAACAAAGATAAGTTACGATTAAATACAGTTCACAATAGAAATAAATATTATTTGTGTTCAGATAAAAGAAAAATACAAAACAAAAGTGGTTGGTGGGTAGTTAAGTTAGAATCAGTGGAGAGCAGTTGTTGGGCAATCCCTAACCTCGTATAATCATCTAATGTGTGTATATTAATTATGAAAAACAAAAGAAAAAGTCACAAGCCTTCTCCGCCAGGAGATGGGAAAGTTGTGAAAGGTTGTTAGAAACCTATCTGAATCTGAAAGGACGAAATTAACCACCAAAAAAACCCAATTCGACACCTCTCAGAGAGAGAAGGGGCATGAAGGCATAAACCCACCGTGTTTGGTTGTGGAGGTTCGACACAGCAAACCTGAAGTATATAGAGTATCTCCTATCTTGGGCTTGGTGCTAATTTCTTTTGGATATTATGTCCAATCACTCAACAGAGCATCAACCTAAGAATCACAACCTCAACATAACAGATTTGGTAAGATTAATTTGTTCATTAACATATATGTATTTTTATTTTTTATTTTTAGAGAAAGGGGATTTTATTGTGGTTTATTGATTGGATTGTATTGGGGGTTGATTGATGATTGTATAGGGATATTTTGGTGTGGTAACAGTATTCAAATTGATGGTATAGTTGCCGCCATTCACATTGCATATGTAGTGTACTCCTTTCGTTGTTGGGGTTGTAGAGAGGGGAGGACCGGAGGACATCAATCAAAATAGTGAGAGATTCGAAGGGTATATATGTCCTTTCAATATAAAATGGATGTTTGTATGTTTGTTTGTTTTTTTTTTTATTTTTTTTTATTTTTGGCGTGGCTTCATCAAACGCCTCTCTATTCCAACTCTTATCATATGTTAAATTAATTTTTGCATAATAAAATAGTTTTGTTGTTGGGGGCCAAGCAATGACTGGTGGAGGTGGAGGTATTGTGTTGGGAGGGTGTGGTAATGGCAACAGTGCCTCCTAATGCTATGATCCTCCATCTCCAATGAGTAGGAGTGGTGTTGCTGCTCCAAGATTTGGGTTGGGACTTGGGAATTGGGACTCATCAGATTATTATTATTATTATTAATAGATAATAAAGGAAGATGGAAGCAGCATCATCATCATCATGCTTTTTATATGGCAATGGTAGCAGCATCTCCACCTTGGCTTTGAAATCCCCAAGCTGCCTCACACTCCGTTTGTGCCCCCACAATTCCAATGCCTCCTCCTCCATTTCTCTCATTCTATCATCGTCTTCATCATTCACATTCTTATCTCAACAACACCACAAGTATTTCATCTACAATAGCACCAACACCAATACCAACAAGACCACCGAGAGAAATACAAGTAGAAGTAGAAGAAGTAGAAGTGTTGGCACCACCAAAAACAACAAAAACACTTCAATCACTAGTAATAGTAGCAGCAGCCTCAACAAGGCCAGTACTAGTTGGAGTACAAGCGCATCAGCAGCAGCAGAGGAGAATAATATTGAGGCGGCCGTCAAGAAAAATAGAAGCAGCAGCAGCAGGCCCGTTAATGTGGGTGCTCTGTATCAGAATGGAGACCCACTGGGGCGGAGGGAACTTGGCAAGTGCGTGGTCAAGTGGATGTGCCAGGGCATGAAGGCCATGGCCTATGATTTCGCAGACGCTGAATTGCAGGGGGAGGGGGAGTTCTCTGAGCTCATCAGGCGAAGGATGGGACCAGGTCTCACTTTTGTCATCCAGGCTCAGCCTTACTTCACTGCCGTCCCCATGCCCCTTGGCCTAGAGGCCGTCTGCTTGAAGGCCTGCACCCATTATCCCACCCTTTTCGATCACTTCCAGAGGGAGTTGAGAGACGTCCTCCAGGACCTCCAGCGCAAATCCTTGGTCCAAGATTGGCGAAACACCCATTCTTGGAAGCTACTCAAGGATCTAGCCAATTCAGGTCTCTCTCTATTTTTATTACCCACTTCCTTTTTAAGTATCTAAATATTTTGGATCTCTATTCAATCAAGGCTTAATTGGCCCCAAATGGTGCATTTGCAGCTCAGCATAGAGCGATTGCGCGCAAGGTTTCCCAGCCAAAGACCATTCACGCTGGTTTAGGGATGGATCTCAACAAGGCCAAGGCTCTCCAGGCCAGAATTGATGATTATACAAAGCGGATGTCCGATTTGCTTCGTATAGAAAGGGATGCTGAATTGGAGTTTACGCAGGAGGAGCTCAATGCTGTTCCCACACCTAACGAGAGTTCTGATTCACTTAAACCTACTGAATTCTTAGTTAGCCATTGCCAGGTTGAGCAAGAACTCTGTGATACCATTTGCAATCTGAATGCAGTTAGCACATCTACAGGTCACATTACCAACTCTTTATTTTTTCTACAAAAAACATTGATTAGCACTCATATGACATACAAAGATTATTCATACTCACCTTCAATTTTGTCTTTTTTTCTTCTTTTCTAATTAGTACAGTTTCATCTTACAAATTGGATTGTGAATGCAGGATTAGGTGGAATGCATTTGGTATTGTTTAGGGTGGAGGGAAATCACCGGTTACCGCCTACTACCCTTTCTCCTGGAGACATGGTTTGCGTGAGAACATGTGACAGTAGGGGTGCTGGTGCAACTTCATGTATGCAAGGGTTCGTTAACAACCTAGGGGAGGATGGATGTAGCATCATTTTAGCTCTTGAATCTCGTCATGGTGATTCCACCTTTTCTAAACTCTTTGGCAAGAGCATCCGCATTGATCGCATTCACGGACTGGCTGATGCATTGACATATGAGGTATTTGCTGAAAGGCTTTTATAAGGTTATCCTTTACTGTTTGAGAATAGAGGCAGAAACATTATTATCACGATCCAATAGCATTTGATTTCATCAGGTCACTTCTAGAATGAAAATAGCAGTTTTATTTGTAGAAGCCATATGGGATAACAAAGTGCTATATGCAGTTCGTCCGTTGGGATGGTCCCCTTTAACATGATGTGGAGCGCAAGAAGTTCTCCCATGTAAATCCCAGCAACACTCATTTTCTTGGTCTCTCACCTTATTTGCTTCACTGCCTTAAGGCAATCAAACCCCTATAGCAGAGACTCCTTACCTCTTCATATTCCTCTACAATTACCACTATTGCCCCTATTAGTTGATAAGACCAAGGCTTGCGTGTCAGAAATTGTGCTAGATTGAAGCAGTTGCAGTAGGCTACTTGGTCTGTTCTCTCCACTTTGGAGACGAGTAAACATGATTTGTGGATAGGCATGTGATTCAATTCAAGGACCAGAAGCCTGATTATATATAATTCAAGCATGTGATGAAATTGATTTGTATTTTTTCCACTTTCTTTCTTTTCTTTGTGACCAAAATATTGCTTAAATTCCCAGTGCACATAGGGAACAAAGAGGGAGTGTTAGGCCAATCGGACTTAGGTTGGCATACTTTGTAAAACAAGACTGTGTTTACACTTTTGTTTTAATTTCTAGCTTAGTTTTAATTTTTACAAAAGTTAGTGTTAGTTTCCTCCCAAGGTCTAAAGATGGAATTTATGTTGCATTCAATGGTAACCTGGTAATTTTTGTCTACAAGGGTATAAAGGTAAATTCACATCGATGCACTCACCAACTTAGGGTTTATGCATGCATTGTTAGGGTTCTTACGTTTTCATGATTTTAATTTGATTCGCTATATTGTTTTAAACTTCCATGAAAAAGTTTTTGTAAACTTCTATATTGGAATATTTCCAAGCATAAACCCGCAGGAGATTTTGATTGATCAAGGTATCGATCAAAGCCTTCTAGAGACATGTCGATCTATTGAACTCAACTTCGATCGATCGAGCTGTTCGGAATAGAAATTTTCAACTTTATTTTGTGTTAGATTTGTGCAAACAGTAAAGAGAAGAGAAGAAAAACGTAGGTGCTGTTATTCAATAATACAAAGTAATACAATATACAAGAATATAAAATAATTTCAACTAATAAACTGAGGGAAAAGACATGACTGCCCTCAAATATAAAACTAATCCTCTAACACCACCCCCAAAACTCACGATGTGATAGTAAGAAGCATCGAGAGTTTGCCTAGAAAAAAACGAAAACGCATAATAGTATGAGACTTCGTGAAGAAGTCAACCAACCGCATAGTATAAGAAACAAATGGGAGAGAGATAGTCCCAAGCTGAAGATGATGGCGAGCAAAATGACAATCAATCTCAATATGCTTTGTACGCTCATGAAAGACAGAATTGTGTGCAATTTGAATGGCACTCTTGTTATCACAATACATGGGAGTATGAACAGAAATAGGAGCACCCATATCACCAAGCAACCATCTGATCAAAACAATCTCCGCTGTAGTAGCAGCCATGGCACGTTACTCAGCTTTAACAGAGGAGCGAGCAACAACTGTCTGCTTCTTGCTTTTCCAGGAGATGAGAGAATCACCTAGAAAAACACAGAAGCCAGTAGTGGACTTACGATCTTTATTTTAAACTCTACAAAACCTAATACGTCTCTACCACTTTGCTGCCTATAAATACCTAATACTAGGGCAGACTTGGACCTCACACACACAAAATACTGTAGTTAGTGCAGATTTTTTGTGAGTTCTAGAGAGTGCATCTCTTTTTCTTTACGTTCACCAGTAGCATTAGTTGGTGAGTGTACTCTTCTGTGTTGACATCCTTCGCTGTGTACTTCAACGAAGTTCAACACTACTGTTCAATCCACAACCAGATTGATGCCTAGATGACTAATGATTGAGACCAATTCACTAGAGAAGCAGGTTTGTGAGGAGTGGATGCTATTAACGAGCGGAAGCATTGTCTGAAGATTTTCTGGTGAAATAGTTTGGAGTCTTGTAACTAGGGGTTCTTGAGGTAAATTCTATTAACTTAGGTTTAATCTCTTTCTTGGTGGATTTGGTTTGCCTGGACTAGGTCCCATGGTTTTTCCCTTTTTTGAAAAAATCCGGTGTCCACTATTTATTGCTTTTACTACTTTAATTGTTGTGAGTTGCTTAAGATTTTTACTACATGCTATATTCTGAGATTGAATTTTTGTTAAAATCTGTTATGAATTTTATTTTATAAAAACAATGTCAACAGTCATCTAATTCTACAAAACGTATTTATCCCCAGGTCTAGATCAGTAGTCCTTGTGCGATTCTCTATCAGAGCCTTGGGTTCTGGTCCTATGAACTTTTAGGGAGTATAAAAAACTGTTGTGCTTGGATGAAAAGATTTTTAAGCAGTGTTGTCCCTCCTTATATTTCTTTTCCTCTTTAGAATTCATGGTGAAATCTAAAGGCTTTTGGATTCTTTAGTTGGTTTGAAGATGTGATGGAGGTATTAAAGCCATGGTTATCATTAAGCAATGGGATCGAAGTTCAATTGAGTTATGACTTGCGAGAGAGGCTTCATAGGATTTACTAGCTTTTCAGGGAAGTTATTTTTTTAAATATAATTTTGTAATCTCTTATTTATTAATGGATTTGTCTCCTGTCAGATTGTCCCTAGGTTGAGGTGTTTACCTAACCACTTGATTGTTTATGTTGTCTCATTGTAATTTTCATTTAATTCCTTATTTATCACGTTGACAAGAACCTTAGGTTAAATGTAGGGCACTGGAAACAAGAAACTTATAAAGTGTTGTCAGGGGCTTGATGTGATGGAGGTATTAAAGCCATAGTTATCATTAAGCAATGGGATCGAAGTTCAATTGAGTTATGACTTGCGAGAGAGGCTTCATAGGATTTACTAGCTTTGCAGGGAAGTTATTTTTTTAAATATAATTTTTTAATCTCTTATTTATTATTGGATTGGTCTCCTGTTAGATTGTCCCTAGGTTGAGGTATTTACTTAACCACTTGATTGTTTATGTTGTCTCATTGTAATTTTCATTTAATTTCTTATTTATCACTTCGAGAAGAACCTTAGGTTAAATTTAGGGTACTGGAAACAAAAAACTTATAAAGTGTTGTCAGGGGCTTATTTGTTACTCCCTCTATCCCATAAAGGATGTCGCGTTTGGGGAATCGTGACTCACAATTTGAGTCATGGTTCCCTAAACGCGACATCTTTTTTTGGGATAAAGGTAGTATTACTTATATAATGTTGGGGCTTAAGTGTAATTTCTGAAACTTATTATTATAAATAAAATTTGGTGGAAAGATGAAAGTATTCTTTCATTCTTTCTCTCTTTCCCCATCTCTCTCTCTTTTTCTCTCATCATCTTTCTTCTCTTTTTCTTCATCTTATACTTTACTCTTTGATTTGATTCTCTTTTAAAGTAAACATGGTATTAGAGCAAGGTTTGTAAAGCTCTAGGTGTACAGTTAAAACCTTAGGGCAAGTTTGTGTAAACCCTAGTGGGTGTGAAGTGTTTTGAAGAGATTCCAAGATGGGATTTGTTTGTAAGGAAGTAGTGTTAATCACATCCACAGGTACCGCGGATCCAACTATTGCAGTCTCGATTGGTGTTTTTTTCGTGTTCGCGAGGTTCTGCAACAACGGCTTTTTCTTCGTCATTCGCGATTCTAGTATGGTCTACTTTGTTACTTTCTAGGGTTTGTGTGGTGACTGCGTGGTCTCTTTTTTATGCATCTTAGAAGACGGTAATCTTTCTAGTTGAAGTTTGTGTGTTAGAGAGATGGTTCTCTCTGTATTTTGTTGCTGTTTTTGTTTATGAGGATTAATACCCATAAACTGTTTGATAAAATGTCTGGTCCTCCTACCACTAATGATTTGTAGCAGGGAAAGCAACCAATTGTCTACACTAGGAGGGCAAAAAAAGTCATTGACTCACCCCAGGACCAATAAGTCTCCCTCGATCCAAGTAATTCCTCAGTTGACATTGATATTTCTAATTCTTTTCCCAATAGTATTCTTGTAGATCTTAGTTCAATGTAAAAGGCTCTTGTAAGCCACTTATCAAAAAAAAAAAAAAAAAAGAGGCTCTTTGTAAGCCACAAATTCTCATAAGCCATGCTCCTAATTTATATTACAGACTGAATATTATATAAGTGGAAAGTAAATTAAATCACTGATCCTATGCCTCTAATAGGCACATAATGAAAATAATATCATATAAAATCAAATTAAGATCAAATCAAATCCAATCCCTAAAGATACTCCCAGTATAAATCAAATCCCTATATTTTCTCCCAATACTCCCCCTTAAGCTGGAGCGAAGATATCAACTAAGCCTAGCTTGCCAATACCAGAGTGAAGAGCAGATTGTCCTACTGACTTTGTGATATCAACAAGCTGATTAGTAGAAGAAACGTAGGAAGTATGGATAACTCCACATCGCACTTTCTCCCTGAGAAAGTGAATATCAACCTCAATATGCTTTGTCCTCTCATGAAGAACTGAGTTAAATGTGAGCATAATAGCAGACCGGTTATCACAGATGAGAGTTGATGAACTAAATACAGGGAATCCTAGCTCAGTCAATAAGGAACGAAGCCAGAGGATCTCACAAGTGCCCTAAGCCATGGCACGGTACTCTGCCTCTGCAGAAGAATGAGACACAACACTTTGTTTCTTACTTTTCCAAGAAATTAAATTGCCCCCGTGAAAAGTACAGAAACCTGAAGTAGAGCGACGGTCAGTCAAAGATCCAGCATAATTAGCATCGGTGTAGCACGAGATAAGATGAAGTGGTGGATTTGTAGAATAGACCAAGTCCTGGGTAGGACTTGAGGTACCGAAGAATTTAGTATAGTGCATCTAAGTGTGAGGTCCGAGGAGCATGCATGAACTGACTCACAACACTAACCGCAAATGT